TCTGTTCTACTAACATGCAGGAAGCAAAATACATTTCTGGGCAATATAGTTAAAAATGGAGAGGCTAAGTCAGAAGAAGTTCTTACAGATTTTATTTAAGAACAAATGTAGAGAATAATAAATATAATATTGAAAATGGCAGAGCCAAGTCTGCACCAGAGAAAAACTGAAACAGAAAAACTACATTAAAAAAATACAGATTCTGCATGGGAAGCAAACAAAGTATAAAATACTCTTGTCCAAATCACAGCTGAAACTTTGAACTGAGTATCCAGTACCCAAGTGTATTGCAGAATACCAACTGAAAACAGCATGTGTATATTAAAGTAGCTAGGATTTCCTATATCATTCTCGATGTTGATTACAGGAAAAAGGTAATAACTGTATACTTAAAAAACCAACAATTTAAATAAATGAGCTATTCTGAATTGATACCACATGTATTTGTACCGTGATAATCATATGTAAATTCTATGGAATATAGCATACGTAATATATCTTCTAAACATAGAGAACCATAACATGATGGACAGGTAGCTGGTCTAGAAGCTTGGTTTAATTCTCAGGGAAATGATCAGTTGGTGCCTGGCTGTACATATAAAACTAGGAAGAAGAATCCTATTGTTAGAAACTATTTATAGTGAAATAATTTTCTACCTAGAAGAATAATCCAATCTCACAAATCCCCTACATGTGAATTCAAGTTACACAGCTAGGCATAAGTTTACCATTTCAGCAGAAAACCAAGCAATTTGGGTCTACTCAGTGTCCTGAAGAATTGAGATTTATATGTGTGGTGTGTGTGTGTGTGTGTGTGTGTGTGTGTGTGTGTGGAGAGAGAGAGAGGAGAGAGAGAGAGAGAGAGAGAGAGAGAGAGAGAGATTTTCCCCACATCCAAATCTATCCCCCTGCTGCTTTCTTACCAATAATTTAGGAGAAGAGTCTTTACCATGCTCAAATAGTTTCCTGTGGGGAAAAAAAGCATCACGAAAAGCACATTTTTTTTCATATATTCTCCCTGCTTTTCCTCTATTCTGAAAAGAGCCGCTTCTGCTACTTTAAACAAGAATTATTACAGTATTAAGATACATTCTATGCTTCTCCTGTGCAACATTAATTGGTGCCATAAGTAAGAATTCTCCTTCATAAATATTTAATCCCTGAAAAACATGCAATAACTTGAAATCAGAAAACTATCTGGTTGTAGGCCAGAGTGGCCCTCCCATTTTTTTTTTTTTCAACTGCAACTTCCATTATCCCTCACAATTACCCTTCTTAGCTGATGGGAATTGGAGGACAACAACATCAGAAGAAAATCATGTTACTCATCCTGGTTTCCCATTGAAACAGGAAAATATCAAATTTTAATTTAACTAAGCAGAATTTTTTTTTATGTTAAATAAATGAAACTTATATTATAGCAAACAATCTAAAGTGACATGTAAAACTTCAAGTTATTCACCGATGCAGTAAAAAGTATCAACAACAAAAATATATCTGCCTTGTTAAAATTCTTAAAATATATATTAACCTATGAGATGCTTAGTCGATTATTGCCATTAGATCATGCCTCCGAGCTATAAAGTATAAAAACATTCTGATTACATAAAATACAGTCACGATTTTTCTCATCACCAGCATAATCTAATATAAAAATACCTTTCATGTTTACAAGAGGTTTCTTCTAGAAGGTATATATGGGAAAAGTAATAGTAGAAGCAGAAATACATGGGTGGATGGAGCAGAAAGCTACTGTTTATATACTAGACAGCCATTTTGCTTGCAAGATTAATGCATCTCAGAACAGACATGGTGACAGAAGCATATCCATGGCCAGATAACACTGGCTCTATAAAACTGTGGCTTTTGAAGGAACCAGCCAATGGCTCCAAAATCAGAGAATACAAGTTTTGCAATTTATCTTATTCACACATTTCCTGGCATGTAGGGGTATTTGCAGAGTATGGTTTTTTTAAAAAATCCAAAAGGGCAACTATGAAACTGCAGTCAAAGTTTCACCCATTTTTATTCACATCCAGCACCTATAAAAACAAGTGGATCTTTGATCAGACCATCATGGCTGCCACCTTGAATATTTTCACCATAGTCAGAAAATACCCCTGCTGGCACGTAATCACAAGTCATTTAAGAAATTTTGTTATAACCCTATAACGAGGGCCTCTTTTAATTTAGCAATTTGTTTTGTAAAAGACTGCATGTTGAAAAAAATTGCTTGTACCAATAAGAAACTGTTGCAGGAAAAAATGCAGAGATATTATATATCTATAAATTGCAGCTGATCAAAACTATTTTCAGAATTACAGAGACTTCCCCATCCTATATTCTCATCATCGAATGATTTTTTTTCTTATTTTAGTTACCTAAGTTTCCAAACACAGGATGGCTGGGATTGCTTTGGGTTTGGGCACTCAAAAGCCCCTTGGTTCTCATAAATATGTAGATAAGGCTGCTGCTAAAACCAGATTTAAAATGCTGATTAAACTTGACTGTCCAAGAATCTGGTGAATGTTTAGCATTCTGACTAGAATATGCTATATCTGAGTAAGGAACTTTTGGGACAAGCAATTATTGGAGGCAAGTAAACTTTGGGTGAATTAAGCAGGAGAGTGGACTGTTGTTGGTACTTGGCAGCTTCAAGTTTCTTCAGGGTTGCGAGATTCGTTTTGTAGTTGGATGTGAGGATTTTGAAGGATAATCCAGGAGTGTCATTGGTCAGACAGATGGTTCATGTCAGGTGTTGGAGGTGTAAGAAATAGTAGTTTCCTGTTAGGAAGATCCTAAAGAGCAATGGTGATGCTAGGTCCTTGATCCCACTGAGGGTGAGGATGAGGCAAATTACCAGAGTAATGAGCAATGGGAACTATGAAAGGAGAAGCTGTTTCTAGAGAAGGGGGATTGTCCACTTGGTCTGTCTCTCTTTCTTCAGATGTCCTTTCCCTGAGGTCAGGAGGCCAGATTGAAGGACACTTTGGCCTCAGACTGCTACTGATGAATGTTAGGTCCATATGTTGCCTTTTTCTTCACCCCAGAGCAGATGGCTGAGGTTATGAGGAATATTGCAATAGTCTTTTATCATGATCAGATCACTTCCCAGTCAATATGTTGCCTGTTGGCACGAGTGACATCTGAAAGGCTAAGGACTGGTTAGAATGGGCTACCTGAACTAGTCAAGCTTGAAACTGAGAGATGAGAATGCTGGATGTGCTCTCCTGAGGAGCCTTTTCCTCTGCTTTGATTACCTATTCATTTATCAAAAATTCTGGGAGATGAGAGGAAGTGATGTTGCATTACATAACTTCCATCTAGACTTATCTTCCCTTTTAATGAAGATTAAAACAGTATACGACACTCTGGTAGACGATCTTTGTTAAGACCCAGACAGAAAGTTCAACTCTCCTAATCCTACAGACCTCTCAAAAGCATTCACACCCTCTATGCTTTTCTTCTGGAGCATCTGCTAGGATTTGGGGTATGTTGCATTGTTTTGTTTGTCCATTTCATTCTGTAGGGGTAGCTCCAGTCATAAGGATCAGCTAGCCCTTGATCATTTACTTCATGCTATTCTTGGCTGTGTGTTTAGCATTTCTATGAAATCAGCAGAAGAGATCATTTCTGGATGATGTACCATCAATATGTTAATATTCCATGGTGTAGACTTAATCTCAGGCCAAACTATTGATGCCCTGGTAATCCTCATATGGTGCCCGTAGTCTATATGGGATTAACAATTGAAACAAACTGAAACTTAAATCCAATAAGAGTAAGGTGTTGGTAGTCCAGAAACTATCTGGTCCTTTGTTGATTATTATATTGGCTGTAGATAGGGTTGCATTCCACTTTAAAAAGCAGGTTCATGACTTTTGAACTCATAGCCACAATATGATCCACAGGTAGAAGATGTGGTCTTTGCTCCACTTTAATGCACCAGTTGAGGCCCTTTTTGGAGCAGAAGTTTTGACATGCGTGGCTTATGCCCTCATCCTTTCAAAATGAGATAATAGCAATGCACTTTATTGGGGCTACCCTGAAAACTACTAGAAAACTGCTGACAAGTGAAAGCTACTTCAGCCATGTAACTTCAATTTTGCAGGTACTATATTGTTTCAAATTAATTTCAAAAGATAATTCAAATTGCTGTTTCTGGCCTCTAAACACTTTGTTTGGCAATTGTCCATTCTACATATTTGTCTCAGGAGATGATGTTGATGATCCTAGAAACAGTCTATCTCAATGGCTGCCATCGTTGTGAAATAATGTCTCCACAGAAATCTGTGAATCACAGCATCCTGGAGCATTGTTATCTTTAAGAAGGTTAATGAAGACGATTTTGGATTTAAAATGCTTGCTTGGATGTCTTTATTTGCAAGACAAAAGTTATATCTGTGTTAAAATTTCCTATCTGTTTTTTTCATTCTAATGATTTACCTAACTAGTTTAGAATTACACAACTGGTTTAGAATTTATACAGTATTTCATTATCCTTTTTTATTTGGATATTTTATGATTGTGAACCAATTAGAGTCATTTCAAGATGCTGGAGTAAAAATCCTGAAACAAATAAAAATATAAATAAATTGCCATTATTAAAATAGTTAGGGACAAGGCAGTTGAGTGTAAAAGCCTTATTAAAGGCTGAAAATTACATTAATCCTCCTCTCTCAGTAGGGAGCAGGTCCCAAAAGTCTGGAGATGCTACAGAGAAGGCCAGAATCAGGATTACAATCAGACCAAGAAATAGCAGCTCTGATGTAATACTGATGATGATGATGATATGGAATGGGCACCATGCTGAAGAACACAGTCTCTCTGATAATTCCTGGTGTGTAAAGGGCAACAAGGACAATCATACCTTGTTTCCACTGAAAAGTGACTACAAACACCAATGTCTGTAAACTGAAATACAAAACAGGCAACTGAATATTTAGAACAAAATATCACCAAAACAATAGAATCAAGAACGTTTGACAATCAAGTTTGAGTTAATTGTTCACAGAATATAGTATTTTTTTAAAAAAAGGAGCACAACAGATTTAGTAGCTGCTAAGTACTTTTGGGCAGGGTAGCAAGAAATAGGCTATGCAATTTAGCAGTTACATGATGTACTTGGTCATTTGGTTTCAATTCACATTTGATGATCCAAACACTGAGCTCATAACACAGGACAGGAACTATCCTGCGTGTACTCATGACAGCATTACCCAATGCTGAAAGTGAACAGGGAAGCCCTTGTGAATGTAACTGTAATTTTTTTTCTCTTAATGCTCTTTGGAGCTTGTTTGTTTAAGTGAACTACAAACAAGATAAAGCATTTAGCAGATCAGGTGAGAATCCAGAGTTGTGAAAGAGAAATTTCAGAAATTGAAAATAAGGCTTTAATGCCATAAAAAAAAAAGCTTCACAGTATATAGGAAAAGCTATTATGCTAAAAATTGTTTTTTAAAAACCAATATTTGCCTTAAAAATACATACACACTAAAATAATGTGTGACAACATTAAAAGTCAGAAAATTGAATAAAATTCTACTGTGTTATATTCTTTTAAAAGTTCTATAACCAGAAGGGATATTATAGGTTTAAAATGCCAGAAGGCAAGTTTTTCATATTTAACCTACATTTTAGCAACGTGAGTGATCCACAAATCCCTTGTTGACAACCAATTATCCACACTACCATTTAAATAGGTATCAAATGTTTAACACAACGCTTAAGGATTTTAAAAATAAACATTTGGCTAAAAAATAAAGCTTCTAAATATATTCTCATAATTTAAAATAAATATGGGAGCAGATTTCATTATTTACATTTATCTGAATGACCAAGAAAAGTTCCATGGGCAAGTTTGTTGTGCTGTAAATGCACCAGGCAAATTTCCAGCTCCATATCAGTTGGCTTTTGAATATAACTATTCATTTCTATACCATACTGAAACAACTTTATAGTATTGTTTCCACGAAAAGGGTTCCTTTCTATAAAAGGATGGATAAGCTATTCAGAAATGGGAAAAATAATAGAAATCAAGCCAATATTGATACAGAAAATCAAAGTGTGCTCATTGTTGGTTCATTTGTACAACCACAGGCTACGATCTCCAGCTTGACAAAAAAAAAAAAAAAAAGACATCTCTAAGCATTGGAACTAAAGGACTTTAATATTTAAAGGAATTCTCCAGCACCATCCCCTGTCTGTGTGGCTGGGCTTGAACACAATGCCTAGCTTCCCCTAATTTAAAAAGGACATATGCATGAGAAATCACCAGTTGTTTGAGCCTAAGGTCACTTAACCTTTTTGGCTGAGTCCTTAATTGTTGAGATTGTTAACATTTTTCCATAACCAGCTTTGCATCTTTAGGAAAACATCTCTTGAACAGGAAGGTTTTCTGGAGGAAAGCTAATCTTCCTGACAGCTTTGTCCTTAGAGTGCAAAAGTCGATAAAGAAAAGATGGGAGGCCTTTCTGTTCATCACTGGGGGACCACTTCTCGCAAAGAGGCTAATGCTGCGTGGATGCGAACATGTAACCTGTTCTCAAAATCATACCCTGTGAATTCTTCCTGTAATAGAAAATAAAAGTAAAAATTAAACCCATGGCAGTAGAGAGGCACAACAACTTAAAGGTATATACAAGATATGTATTGTTTTAACTGTAAGTTAAACATGTTTTCTAATTCCCCAAGGCAAATACAATAGTAAAGACAAAAGAATATAGGGTTTTTTTTCTTTCACCCTAATTAATAAGTCTGTTTCATTCATATACTGCAAGGAAAAAGAGACTCCCATCATACAGCAAAGAAAATACTTAAAACCATTCTGAATATTACCTTTGCCTGAAGCAGTAACACTTTACCTCTTGGGACAGACTGTAGGAAGAAGCAAATATCGTTTTAGAAATTTCGATGTCATCTTCCAAAAACAGAAAACAAAAATAATAATAACACAATATTTAGCTCGAAATAGGAAATAAAAGTATGATAATAAGATTAATTAGGAAAATACTAACTACAGAAATCTGACTTGCTTCTTTAGTGAGTAATAGAGTCAGTTTAGTGTAGTGGTTAAAGTGTTGACTTAGAAACCAGGAGTCTATGAATTCTAGTCCTGCCTTAGACATAAAAGCCAGTTGGATGAGATTGAGCCAGTCATTCTTTCTCAGCCCAACCCACTTCACAGGGTTGTTGTTGCGGGGTGGAGGGGGAGGAGGAGGAAGGAGAATGCCTTAAGTTACTTAAAAAATAATAAAGGTAGATTTTTTTTTAAAAACAACTAATAAATAATAATAAATATCATTCAGAAGATTTTTAAAAATACTGGAAATTAATCATTTTCATTTGAACACTAACTACTCCCAGCAAAAAGATGAATAATCACATAAATGAGCTACCTCAAAAAAGTATTTTAGAAAATATTGGAGATAACTAATTTGTTCTGTTTTCTAATGAGTGCAGCTACTTGAAATAAAATGCAGACTGCATTTGTAGTCATGAAAATAAGTTATTTTCTGCTACTCTTTTCTTAAAAGCCTTAAAAGAGAAGGGTGTTTTCCAGTGGTGAAATCTGAACCGGTTTGTCATTGGTTCGCTGGCTGTGCATGTGCGGTGTGCAGTGTGCACCAAGCATGTGTGTGCATGTGCGGTGCATGCCAAATGTGCGGTGCATTCATACACAGTGCCCACCAAACACGCGCTTCGCGTGGGAAAAGGAGCTTGGGAAAGTAAGTAGAATGAGGGGGGGAACAGCTGTGCCACGTGATTTAGATTCACTAGAAAGCAGGATTTCCTGCTTTCTAGCAATTTTAAATCGTGGGGCATAGCTGATCGTCAGAAATAGGGGTTCGGAAGAACTGGTAGCATTTTTTTACTACCGATTCACCCGAACTGGTGCGAACCAGTAGCATTTCACCATTGGTGTTTTCTCTTAGGTGCTCCATGTGGGAATTGTAAGAGAAGAGTCATGCTAGTCTAAGGCAGCCCTTACTCACACTGGTTCTTCTTACTCAGGCTGCAATTCTTGACTTCCTCTACCTCAGCCTTGTTAACTTCATTCCTTTATTCCTCCTAAACATGACAGTAAGAGAAAGAATCCTACCTACATTTGTAGCTGCAAATGCTTACAATAATTTAAAAGTGAGTTAGAACAAGCAAAAGAAAAAAAAAGGGAGAGAGAGGACAAAAAGCAACAACAAACCACTCTTATATAAGAAAGGTGCAAATAAACTTGGGGCATTCCAAGTACAGGTAGTCCCTAATTTACAACAGTTCATTTAGTGACTGTTCAAAGTTACAATGGCACTGAAAAAAGTGTGTTATGACCATTTTTCACACTTATGACCGTTGTAGCATCCCCATGGTCACGTAATTTACATTTGGATGCTTGACAACTGACTCTCATTTATGACAGTTGCAATGTCCCAGGGTCATGTAATCCCCTTTTGCAATCTTCCCCATTTCTGAAGAACAGAGACTATCAATCCAGTCAAAAATACCAATTATCATTTCAACTGCAGAAAAAAGGGTAGGAATAAAAATATATTCTCAGATTACCACCACCACACCCGCCCCCCAATTACCTGAGGGTTTTCTAATAAAAGACAGCCAAGTTCATAGCAAGCATATGGTTGAACATACAGGTTGTTCTGGCGACAGAGTTCATCTTTTAGGGCTCTTTGAAAGAACTGCAAAAGAAAAATTATCCCATTGTTTTTAAGAACAAAAATAATTTTTTTGCACTTTACTCAGAAACTTTTATTAGTCCAGTCATAAAATCTCTTCATTTGCCAATTATCATTTTAAATTGATAAATGAACCAAATCAAAACCGGATGGGGAAATAATTGCTAGTGGCTATGGATAAATAGTAGGTGACAGTGGTAAAACTTGCTGAATAGAAAAGACTTGACACATACACATAATCTCTGCAGTCATTATCAATAAATGTCATTCTTTCTAAAAAAAAAAAAGATCAGAAAAACTGTTAAAAGTATTTCTGAAATGCTCCTGGATTTCAAACAATTAATAAAAAATTGACTAAACATGCTGTGTTGACCTCACACATTAGGAAACAAATTCAGTGGCGATTAACCTTTGGTTTTATGTAATGCTATTAACTGCAATTGAGTGAGAAAGAATACGTACATAAGAGAGAAAGAGAAATATTGTAAATCACCATAAGTCTCACCAGCATCTCCAGTCTCATCCTGGTTTACAGTAGAGCAACCAAACAAATTACAATAAAATCATTAAAAAAAACCACATCCCAAATAATAAATGATAATACAGTGCAATCATATAGGTATTCTCTTTATCCTAAGTGAAAACAGTCCTCATAAGGATTGTAAAATAGTTTAATCTTCACTGTTTTATGAAAAAACAGTAAGGCTTGGTGCCAATTTCCTTTCTGGGCAAATGTTATTTAACATGGTTGGAACCACCAATGAGAAACCTCACCAATGAACCTCAATTACCCTGTTTCCTCCAAAATAAGACATCCCCTGATAATAAGCCCAATCGGGCTTTTGAGCGCATGGCAATAAGGCGAAGCGCTTATTTCAGGGTTCAAAAAAATAAAATCAGGGTCTTATTTTCGGGGAAACACAGTAGCCCCATATCCTGTATTCAAGGCCCCCGCCCCCCACCACCAGAATGACCAATTTCACCAGGAGAAGGCAGACTTACACTGCTTGGGAGCCAAGCCATTTACAGCATTAAAGTGAGGGGTCCTTGGTGCTTTCTGAGCTTGGCTATTTTCTTGCAGAGTTTCATTATCCAAGCGAGATAACATCATCAGTGCCAGAGCATTGAAGATTAAAACTAACATTTTGGGCTATGTTTGGAAACTTATTGAAAGCCAATGCAGTACCTGTAGTACAGATGTTACATAGCTGGGGCAGCTCTCCTCTGCCAGCATGAGAGCAGATGCGTTTTATACTAATGCAATTTGAATAACCAATGCATGTGGAATGCATTGCAGTAGTCTGTCCAAATACAGATGAGAACAGTAGTTATACACCCAAACCTTTTCATTCTACATAGGGCCACAACTAACAGAGAGATACAGTTTCTACACAGCAATTGTCATAAATTTATGAAGACATCTAAGTCATGGATCTGCTTTTTTAAGGGGACTACTACGGTACCTAATATAAAGTTATCTGTCATCAGATAAAACAGAGAGACTGGTGTTCATTGAATGAACAGTAAATCAGACTTGTTGGGTTCATCTTCAGCCTATTTCATCCCGTCTAGGCTTCTATAGTCTGTAACATCAGATCAATACTGCTATAGCATCACGAGCCCAGCCTAGCATAGTGATGCATAACTGAAAATTGTCAAAATTACTGGTGATACAAGTAGCAGACAAGGATGCAATGGAAAACTAGAAGACTCTGAATGAATTGGAAATGAAGGCAAGGTCATAAGGAAGACAGAAGGTTTTAAAGAGAAAAAATAGTTCAGTAATATTGGGATTAGAAAATTTACTGCAAGCAAAACAAAAAAGAGAGAAAGAGGAAATGGGAAATAAATGAAGAAACAAAGACAGAAAATGTAAGAATTCTATGGGATGGGTTATGATCTGACAGACTGAATTTGGCCTATAAGATGAAGGTAGTCTATCTTTGGCTCTACATATTCTCATACTAAAATTTTCATTTGTTTTATTACCATTATTGGTATGTTTTCTTGTTAACATAATTGGGTTTGTTTTTTCTTGAATATACTAGCATATTTTCACTCTATTCTCAGTTACCTGAACAGCATCTTCAGCATTTCCTAAGCATTTATGTATGGCACCAAGTAACAAGTTCTTCAAACCAACGACCGCTGAATCCTCAATTTCCTGGCAAGCTTGAGAAGGAGAAAAGGACAGGAATAAATGACAATGATGACAGTATACATTTGACATTGATACTATTCTTTCATTCCACAACCACCATTCTCTAGATTCAAAATTCTTCAAACAAAGGTAGGTCTATTTAAAAAGCTGCTAAAAAAGCTTTTAATTTAATTTTAATTTAACAGCTGCAGTGATTAACTTAACAAATGTGGCAAGAAAAGTCATAAAGTAGGACAAAACACATTTAACAAATTTCTTACTTAGCAACATAAATTCTGGGCTCAATTGTGCTTGCAAGTCAAGGACTACCTGTATATAGATCATAAATGAGGACTGATGAGAAGAGGGGGAAATCAGGAAGCAGGCTGAAAAGTAAGAGCTACAGGTAGGTGGGCAGGTGCTATGGTTGGGTGCTAAGGTGTTGGGGGGGGCAGTGCCACAGGCAATTGCAATGGAGTGTGGGTGGTCCAGCAGGTGCTGGGGTGGGTGCTACAGGAGGTGGGCAAGCAGGCACTTTAGAGGGAAGAACAGGTAGGCACTATATAGCATGGAAGGACAAGTGAAAAAGTGGCACGAGTGGGAGCATCTTGTGACTTCCTGCCAGCTTCCCCAATGATTTTGCTTGTGGGAAGCTGGCAGGGAAGGTTGCAAATGGCAATCATGTAACCATAAAATGCTACAACCATTGTAACTGTAAGTTATTGAGTGCCCAAATTGAGATCACATGACCATGAGGAAACTGCAATGGCTGCAACTTCTAATCCTCTTGTTCAGTGCCATCTTAACTTTGAATGGTCATTGAATGAGTGGTCATAACCTGAGGACTAACTATATTATCAACTTATTTCTTAATATTTTATGCATTAGAATTAATCAGGTCAAGGTACAGGAATAAGATCAGGAAATCAGCTTCTTGCTGCAAAGTGGCACAAACTGCTTGCTAGCAGCAATTTAAAAAAGGGACAGGAGAATGTATTGTCTTGTAGAAGACAGACTGTATGCAAAAGTATGCAAAGCAGAATTCACATGTATACCTTGACTCATGTGCTGTAGATTGGTGAATGAACAGTTTGGAAGAGCTTTCCATAAGTACAGTACCTCGATGGATGCCAATACACAAAGTTGTTTGGTTGGTTTTTGCTTTCTAAATCTCTCTGCCTGGAAAACAGATCAGATACTGGTTTTATTTGCCAAATAAATTGAGGGCAAGTACTTTTAAGCATGGGGATATATTTTCATGTTTTCCCAGTGTAATATAATGATAGATAGATAGATAGATAGATAGATAGATAGATAGATAGATAGACAGACAGACAGACAGACAGACATAGATGATAGACACACACACACACACACACACACACACAGAGAGAGAGAGAGAGAGAGAGACAGAGAGAGACAGAGACAGAGAGACAGAGAGACAGAGAGACAGAGACAGAGAAGTGGGGGGGGAGAGAGAGAGAGAGATTACACTGGGAAAACATGAAAAGCATTAAAAGTTCAACATGAGAACCAACAATTTTAGAATAGAATAACCGACTTGGAAGGGATCTTGGTCTTCTAGTCCAGCCCTTTGCTCAATCATTTCAGACAAATAGTAGCCCAATCTCTTCATAAAAATCTCCCGTGATGCAGCACCAAAAACTTCCGAAGGCAAGTTGTTCCACTGATAAATTGTTCTAACTGTCAGGAAATTTCTCCTTAGTTCTAAGTTCTTCTCTCCTTGATTAGTTTCCACCCATTGCTTTTTGTCCTACCCTCGGGTGCTTTGGAGAATAGCTTGACTTCCTCTTGTTTGTGGCAGCCCCTGAGATATTGAAACACTGTTATCATGCCACCCCTAGTCCTTCCTTTGATTAAACTAGACATACCCAATTCCTGCAACCATTCTTCATATGTTTTAGCCTCCAATCCCAGAATGTAGAGCCCTATGACTCATTTTTCAGGGCTCCAGTCAGCCTAGGATAAGAACCTAAGAGTGCTATTCCTAATCTTTTTTCTTTTCTTTTTTTTTTACACAGTAGTAAAGGTCACAAGAATAGAGACGGCTTTGTGCTGTCCCTGAAACAGATCGATAGAGAGTTTGAGAGAATAACAATTCAGCTTTTAATTGTTGTATAACTAAGGACTGGAACGCAGAGCAAGAGGTCTGTTTGATCTCTGACATTCAGTTTGAACTTAGAAGCCTTGGCTCCAAATAATGATTTTTTTATTTTTATTTTTGGAGGAGACAATTTTAAATGCACAGATGAAAGTACAAACTACCCATATTAACCAAACAGTAATGATCAAATAAGTAGGGCTACAACCAATAAATATTTTTAAAAAGTTATTATTTCCTTAAGTATAGCCTGAAGTGTAGTTTTTTTCCCTTTTATAGTTTAAGATATTATCAATTATTACAAATCATAGCATAAAATCCTGTCAGAAATACTGAATAAATGTACATTTTGCCAAAATTCACCACAAGTGGTCCAAATTATTCCTGGATAGATTACCATCAATTGCTTACTACTGACTGCTAAAGGAAATAACTGCATTGTTTATAATCCTAATTAAGACATCTGGCATATTTTATTTTGAATGACAATTTGGATGAGGCAGAGATATCTTTCCTCCACAGGAAAAAGAACACTGCAATATTCTACCCAAAATCTCTAGTTACTGCTATGTGTGTGCTGATTGTATTCCTGCCAAGTGATTCATTCCACCCAGGGCCTTCTCAAGTGCTCAGGCAGGATTGAATAGAAGCAGTCTGAAATTCCAAGCTCATTCTTTTGCTAGAGAAATTCCACAATAATTTCTCTCTAAAAAAAAACCCTCTTAAGCCAGCACAATCAATTTCCTTCACACTATTATCGGCAACAAGGTTAAAAGACAAAGAACAAGGGAACACCTACATGAGCCACAGTGGCACAGTGGTTAGAGGGCAGTACTGCAGGCTACTTCTGCTGGCTGCCAGCTGACTACAATTTATCTCACCAGGCTCAAGGTTGACTCAGCCTTCCATCCTTCCGAAGTCGGTAAAATGAGGACCCAGACTATTGGAAGCAATATGTTGACTCTGTAAACCACTTCAAGAGGGCTGTAAAGCACTGTAAAGTGGTATATAAGTCTAAGTGCTATTTCCCATAATTCTTGCCTTGGCTGGCACAAGCTAGCACTAAATAGGTATGAGCATCACTTTCTTTCACGGTGCTTTTTTGGAGTAATGTATCTAAGCATATTGTTAACAGAACATGATTTATACACTGTAGTCAGATCCCTATAGAAAAATGTACACTATCTCATCTGTTACATCTTTGACGTCACTCAACATCATCTTATTCCTCCTTCCAAAAAGTCACCTGTTGCAAATAGAGCTGGTTCTCATACCTTAACTAGATAAACAAACTACAGTTAGGTTATTGCCTATAACCGCATCCAACTTTAATCGAATGAAGACAGAAGATGTAGCTAATGCAAATTGGGGGGAGGAAGCAAATAGGGTTTTTTTCTTCTTTTTAAATTGCATTTCTTCTACCTTAGAGCCTTTCCTATTATTTTCCAGGGATTTATACTTATGAGGTTTAGCAGCACAGTTAGAGGGGATTTTGAGGATCACAAAAAAGGGAGGAAATCTGAGGTTTAAATGTGGTCCTTGCAGATTGATCACCCGTGAACTAATTCAGTCCAATTTACGTTCACCTGACCTTTTTGACTGAGAATTGTTCAATTTGGTTGTTTTTTCTTTTGAAAAGCTTCTGGACTTCCTTGAAAACAGTCTGTGCACCATTCACTTCACCAGTAGCTCCTTGACACACTGTAATAAAAAGCAATTCCTTTCATTAATTTAAAACAAAAGGTCCTGTCCCCTCACTGAGAATCCCATATGCTCATTAAACATGTAGAAAATTTTATGAATCATTGATTCTTAATTTGTTGGCTTTCCTTTTCCCTTCCTTTCTGAATCATGTCTGCTAAACAGCAAATCTGCAGGCAGGTTTGGTGTTGCTTTTTGAATAGCAACTAATATACTTTAAGATCTTATAAAAATAAATATAAAGTATATTGAAATATAGGATGCGATGCATTCACAATTTTTTTGGTAAGATAATTGCTATTTGTTGAGTTTTGCTCCATTTACATGTTTTTTTGCTTTTAGTTGCTTTCTATCATTACTATATTTAATATTAGGCACACAGGGTTTCTTATTGATTAAGTAGGTATAGACCTACCAATAAATAATGCAAGAACAATGTATGTTCAAAACTATAAGTGACACAACAGAAATGCAACAAATACAGGTAGTCCTTAATTTACAACCATTTGTTTAGTGACCATTCAAGTTACAACAGCACTGATAATTTTAAGTGGCTTATAACTGATCCTCACACTTACCACTGCAACATCCCCAGGTAACATGATCAAAATTTGGGTGCCTGACAACTGTCATGTATTTTCAACAGCATCCCAGGGTCATTTGATTGCCATGTGACCTTCCCATCTAGCTTCTGACAAGCAAAGCCAATGGGAGAAGCTGGATTCACTTAACAACTGCATAATCCACGTAACATCTGCAGTATTTTGCTTAACAACCATGACAAAAAAGGTTGTAAAATTGGGTGTGACTCGACGGGGTGGGAATTTGGTCCCAATAAATTAAGGACTACCTGTATATTTTTGACACTGTTGTATTTATTTATGTGAGTAATTTTCTTAATAAAATATGTTGACACACCAAAGAACAAGCACTATATTATTTCCACACCAATTGCACATACTTCTGAATCATATAACAATACTTCCCTGCTGTTAAGTAGGCATAATAACACTGGGACCATCTTGATTCATTTTTAAGACGTTCAAATGATTCGAAAGCATCCTTGAAGTTCATTTCTATCATGCTACACCAGCCTAAAAGGGACAATCAAAGTTGTTGAATACAGAAATTATGTATGTCCTATATATTATTCATAACAAAAGAAGATAATTTTTAAAATAGCAAAATATATTCTGCAAGCTGGCTCCTAATAGGCTTCTGAATGCAATTCAAAGTGCTAGGTATTACCTTTAAATCCCTACGTGGCACAAGACTGAGTTTCTTGAGGGACCAACAGAAAGGGCATGCTCCAGGTTCCTTTTAAAATCTTGTCATTTTATGAGACCTAGAAATTCTGCCTTTTCTGAGGTTGCCCCTGTATTCTGCAACAATTCCCTCCCCCCACCCTCCAATATCACAAGCCCCAAATCTTCTTGTCTTGAGGAAAGCCATTGAAATCTGGCTCTTTCCCTAGGCACTGAGTGTGACATGTAGTCATTTTCCTATTTGCCTGGTTGCCATTTTATATTTATATGCTGTTCATTGTTATATTGGATTTTGTTTTTCTTCCTTTTGATCTATTGAATGTTTATTCTATATGTTATCCAGAGTCACAGTGTTTGAATTTGGCAGCCCTATAAATTTTGAAATCAAATAAATATGCTGGAGACTGAAACATTCTGATACTTATTATATCTATACAGAAAGGAAACATTAAAGTTATCATATACCAATTTCATAGAGGCAGACATGCTGAATCTCTCTCTGATCAGTTGCAAGTTCCAAAGCAGTATTGAAGGAGGTCAAGGCACTGTTGATTTGACACTAAAAAGAGAAGAAAAACTGCAATCAAAATGTGGAAGTACGTAAGTATGAACTTTAAAAATTCAAATCATGCTACAACAGTATAAAAGAAAGTTAATTGCAATGATCATCTCGTGAAATGCTTGTAAGAATTACAAAATGTGGACTAGTTATTGAAATCAATGTAAAATTCAGCACTCTAGTCTTCTTCCTTGCACTCATGTCCTCCAAAACTGTCAGCTCATATATGATAGTGACAGAAACGGCAACAACCAGGAGAAATGCCATAAAGAATACTATTGTAGTTGGGAAAAGAAACAGTGCTCCTGAGGAAAATCCCTCAGTTTGTTGAAAAACAAATCAACAAATTCCCACACTATTCTGAAATATCTATCACAAACTACCCCTTTCTGCAGACCCACATTTAACTCTGAGTCGAAGAACTTGAATAACGGGGACTTAACACATGCCACAATATTACCATATACAAAACAATGTCATAGTACTTCCACTAGTAGTAGCATAGTTCTACTGCCAGACTCTGGACATTCTTGTTTTTAAACTACTACATCATAGAAGAATCTGAAGAACTATCAAGGTCAAAGCTTGTAGTACCTCTAACCGCTGTATTCTGCCTTTGAAAAACATAAAGAGAGATGAGTTTGGATAAGCAGCTTCTTTTTTCTGAAGAATCTCTACAGCCTCTTGCAATCCTGCTTTGGTATCACTGCCATCCAAAGCAAAGAAAGGGCGAACCACTGTGTGGTACCACAGCAAGGCTAACCTAAATGTATAAAGAGATATTGACATTAGCTAGTTCCATAGTTTGGAAATTCAGAAGCATCAAAGAATATACAGTAATATGGAATAGTCAGTCCATTAAACAAACTGCTTTTTAAAACTTCAGCAACTTAGACTGGCAGGTTGAGAGCATGCATACAGTATTATCTACTGCTTCCAATCACCCTCTGAAACAAGCAAGCATTCACATCTCTCTTTGGAACATGCTTGCAAGTAAATTACATGAATGGTTATAATAAAAACTTCACACCTCTTTTGTGTGAAGCAGTCTAGAATTGAATGCTTGATTATGGCAGGCATGAAGAATATGTAGGCTTAAAATCCCATTTAGCACCTGAAACACTTCTGGTGTCCTCCTATGTCTCCTCTAAAAAGTGGCATAGTTTCCATAATGTCTATATAGAAACTAAATGAAAACTATACTAAACGAGTCTTATTCAGATATTCCTTTGCCTGTCTATATAAAATGCCTTCTACAACACAGATCTTGTCTCTCAAAAAGTTAAACGGAGTGTCCAGTTGCTAAATTATTACTTTACCAGAGATGTTTTATCAAAACATTAAAAAATTAAGTTAGCTTTTACTCAACAAAAGTGGAATGAAAGAAAGAACCATTCTTCAATTTCTGAAGCTGAAATCTGATAGTAGAGGAGATATGGAATTCCCTAGAAAACACTACCAAGCATACCAATTATACAATCAAATTATAAATCAGCCTTCTAAACGTAAACAAATTAGTACCCAATAATTTTAATGTACAACAAAGTCACTCACAAACTCTTGTTACTTCAGACATCAGTAACACTGCTACCATTGTCAACAAAAAATTAAAGGTTCTCACAAGAGAAATTAAAGGGCTTAAATTAATTATATTTCTTCTATTAGTTAGGGCAGCCACTGGATATGAACAAAAATTTAAATGTTCATTGTCTCATTGCAATCACCTACGAGTTATCCAGATTGTTGAACTACAGAACTGGAGTCCTATGGTAGCTTAAATAGAAAGCAGACCATTTCAGGGAATATCAGTGCTAGATCCAAGATAACTTTGAACTTGCAGAATCTGTTAAAGAGGCTCCTCCACTGAGTCATGACATTATGTTGAGAAGAAAGGCTATATCTAAGACTTGTGTGTGGAAAAGCAACTCTTTCATTGAAAAGGAGCCGAGATACAAAAGCTCCTTGTCAGCTGAAGAACAGAAGCGTGCCAACTCAAGTACTTGCCTTTTTAAAAAAGCATTCTACTACTGATTTACACAGAAGCATACGAATACAGAAAAATTACTTCTTAGTAGAATGTCTTAATATGAATACTGAAGATAGTAAAATGTTTTAAACAACGAAGAATTTAAGAATGGTTTAACTGGAATTTCTTCAGAGTGCAACAATTAGCACTGAATAAAAATAATTTAAGGACACAATAAGCTTCTTTTCTTAAAGGCCCAATTGTATAACTTAAAGCATATCAAAACACAACTCCTAATTTAACTAGGTGATATTTTCATTTTTTTTTAAAAAAAGAGAAGACAATGTTGCTACCTTACATCAGCTTGAAGTTTACTTACTTACTTCAGTTCTAAGCTATTACCAAAGCATTGCAATATAGCTACTCACGTAGCTAAAGGGGCCTTCATGTCCTTACTTTCACTTGCATACATCAATGAAGAAAGCCCCTGCAGGCGGTCTCCAGGAAAACCCAGCAGATTGATGATTTTGAGCAGGTTTGGGGGCACCATGGATATGCAAAGATGAAAAAGTCCATATCCAAAGCTAACAGCACCTTTCAGTCTGTTGAGTGAATCCTCTGTAACAACTTCTGCAGCAATATGATTATCATTTGTAGCATCAGAAGTCAAAGATTCCTGAGTTATCTTCTTCTGATATAAATCCTGAAGTGTATTAATGTCTGAATAGCACTTATTGTAGATTTTCCAAGCTTTTCTAAGGATCCACCCACCTTTTATATAAGCTGAGGGGAACAAAAATATATAAAGAGATAAAACAAGTTTAGTCAAAGAGAAAGGATTTTCTAGGTTAAGAAATTAAAAATCTATGTCCCAACCAGATGTCCACATCCGTATGCCCTCCAGATTTGTGAACTACAATTCCTATTTTCTCCTAGTCAATATGTGAGGAAGGGGTAATTATGTGTAGAGAGAGTGCTATAATCATTTGGAAATATTAATAAATCGTTACAACTAAATACAGGTAGTCATCGACTTACAACAGTTCATTTAGTGACTGTTTGAGGTTACAAAGGCACTGAAAAAGGCACTTATGACCATTTTTCACACCGCTGCTGCATCCCTATGGTCACATGATTTACATTCAAATGCTTGACAATTGGTTCATATTTATGATGATTGCAATATCTCAGGGTCATGTGATCACTTTTGGAGACCTTCTGACAAGCAAAATCAATGGGGAAGCCAGATTCACTTAACAACCATGTTACTAACAATGGAAGTGATTCACTTAACAAATGTGGCAAGAAAAGTTGTAAAATGGGACAAAATTCACTTCAACAAATTTTTCACTTCACAATGTAAGTTCTGGGCTCAGCTGTGGTCGTAAGTCAAGGATTACCTCTGTACAACTCAACATAGTAAGCAGTAAATCATAATAATCTGAGCACTACATATTTTTAATTTTCTGACTTTGTGATAGGATACATCAAAAGCTTTGCAGTTATAAAGAATCACTTTCTAATTTAGTGTGTTGTATATACCCAATCATAAGGCTAAAGAACTAAGAAAACATAGTGTTCAATTTACTGTAGCACCAACAAAATTGTTATTTCCCTATTTATTATGCAACGGCCTGTAAAACCAGGGCTGGAGATATTTAAACAACGAACATGTTACAGCAAAGAAATGGAGGAAATTCTAACTCTTTTCATCATATCTAGCAATCATCTGAATTTTATAGCCCAGATATGGTAGATTTATTCTAAAGGATTAATAAAGCAAGAGCTTCCAAGATATAGAAAATCAAGCTGTCTATTGCAGTAACGCATTTGTTCCAGAAGCATGATTCAGCTTTAACAGGAAGCTAAAATTACTGCAAGACTGTGCCGTTCAGTCTCTTTCTGCTGCATAGCATATTTGGCTCTCATGTGGTTCACCACAAGGTAAGCGTTTGTACAATAAGTGTTCAGCAATGCTTCAGTAACCATGGAGAAATGGACAAAAACTCTACCCCTTTCACCTTGGATGGTGCAATCATAAATAAAGTAGGAAATACGAGGAACATTTCATAAAAACTTTACATAGCTAAAAACTTTATATAGCTTTGCTGTTTTTTAGCCAGAATAACTTTCTGTTAAACATCATTACTTAATAATATTGAATTATTTAAAGTAGCTGTTAGGATATTTTATATATTTCCACATATACTTCTAGGCTATTATACATAGATATTTTTGTACTTAAGAAAATAATTAGTAAAGCACCAGTTTTGCTTAGAATATATTACTGTTATGTATCAACTGATTAATTAAAAATATTTTTTCCAGTATTAATAGGAACTAGTAACCATATGCCAAACGTGTGACTTGTGGTGTTTTAAAATTGTATTTAACCATGTAGAAAGGAAGCTATACTCAAAGGAGAATGTTAATAACAGAATCTTTAACAATAGAAATTGTGTTATCAAAAAGATGCTAGAATTAAAATTGAATTTCATTATTAATTTACTTAATAACAAAACATAGCACTCCCTTCTCATAACACAGAATGCAAGTGACAGAACTTCCAACCACACGGTACACCCAAACAAAGTATTAGAGGCCCCAGCTTATTTCAAGTCTATACAGGTCGTCCTTGACTTATGACCACAATTGGACTCAAAATTTTGGTTTGGCCACCTAAAACAGCTGATCGGCAGTTTTCCAGGAGGGTGATCCAACCACCAATCAGCTGCTTGGGAGCAAAGGCTCCAGTGTTCCCTGGTGCCTCATCAACCCCCCTCCCCCACACCGCAATATTCATTCTATGACACACACAGACCTTTCCACATGGGGGGGGGGGGAAGTACATCTTATAGTGTGAAAAATATAGTACATTAGATTTTAAACCAGAAGTCCTCAAACTACAGCCAGTGGGCCGAATACGGCCCACCGAAGCCATTAATCTGGTTCAAGTGGGACCACGAGACTGCCCCACCTACCCACTGGCCCCCACCCACCTTCTGGAGGCCAAAAACGGGATGCAGAGAGGCCTCAGGAGGCAAAAAATGGGCCCGTTTTTGGGCGGCAGAGTGGTACTGGAGGCCGAGGAGGCCAAAAACAGTCCCGTTTTTGACCTCCCCAGCCTCTGGGGGTGGGAAGGAGAGATGGAAGGAGGGAGCGAGAGAGAGATAAAGACACCACACAAAAAAACAGAAGTCCCTCCCACCCAAGGCACACCCACCCACCCACATCCCTTCACTAACTTGCTTTCCACCTCTAGGATCATAACAAATTAAAATTTAATTTGTGTGTATTGTTTAATGGACTACTAAATTGGCCACGCCCACCCAGTCACATGACTACCTAGCCACGCCCACCCACCCGGTCTGGCCCCCCAAGTCTCAGGGACCGTGAATTGGCCCCCTGTTTAAAAAGTTTGAGGACCCCTGTCTTAAACCAATGGCATTCATAATATATAAAAGTTTTTGTACTGTAAGCTAGAATCCAACCATTTAAGTTATCCTGGTTTTAGAAAACATTATTTTAAAAAATAGATGTCACAGCTTACCTGATAATTCTTGTTTTACAAAAGAGAGCACAGCAAGGTAAACTTGACAGTCTGCCACAATGATTTGCCTCTGCAATCGATCCATCATGGATGGGGCAGCCTTCCTCCCATCAACCTATTTGAAAATAATAAAGAGCAGAACCATCATATTAATTAGATACAGTTGCAAGAAAAAGTATTTGAACCCCTTGCGATTACGTGGAGTTTTGCATGAATTGGTCATAAAATGTGCTCTGAACTTCATCTAAGTCACAACAATAGAAAAACACAGTCTGCTTAAAATAATACTACACAAACATTAGATGTTGCCATGGTTTAATTGAACATAACATGTAAACATTCACAGTGCAGGGAGGAAAAAGTATGTGAACCTTTGGACTTAATAACTGGTTGACCCTCCTTTGGCAGCAATAACCTCAACCAAACGTTTCCTGTAGTTGCAGATCAGACCTGCACAACGATCTGGAGTAATTTTGGACCACTCCTCTTCACAAAACTGTTTCAGTGTAGCAATATTCTTGGGATGTCTGGTGTGAATCTTAAGGTCATGCCACAGCATTTCAATCGGGTTGAGGTCAGAACTCTGACTGGGCCACTCCAGAAGGCGTATTCTGTGCTGTTGAAGCCATTTTTTTGTTGAATTACTTGTATGCTTTGGGTCATTGTCCTCTTGCATCACCCATCCTCTGCAGAGCTTCAGTTGGCGGACAGATGGTCATACGTTTTCCTGCAAAATGTCTTGATAAACTCTGGAATTCATTTTCCCATTAATGACAACAATCCATCCAGGCCCTGAGGCACCAAAGCAGCCCCAAACCATGATGCTCCCCCCGCCATGTTTTTCAGTGGGGATGAGGTTTTGATGTTGGTGTGCTGTCCCTTTTTTTCTCCACACATAGTGTTGTGTGTTCTTCCCAAACAACTCAATTTTGGTTTCATCTGTCCACAGTATATTTTGCCAGTAGTGCTGTGGAACATCCAGGTGCTCTTTTGCAAACTTCAAACGTGCTGCAATATTTTTTTTGGACAGCAATGGCTTCCTCCGTGGTGTCCTCCCATGTACTCCATTCTTGTTTAATGTTTTCCTTATTGTAGATGTGTCAACAAAAATGTTAGCATGTGCCAGAGTTTTCTGTAGGTCTTTAGCTGACACTCTAGGATTCTTCTTTACCTCATGAAACATTCTGTGCTGTGCTCTTGCAGTCATTTTTACAGGATGACCACGCCTAGGGAGAGTAGCAACAGTGCTAAACTTTCTCCATTTGTAGACAGTCTGTCTTACCGTGGACACATGAACATCAAGGCTTTTGGAGATACTTTTGTAACCCTTTCATGCAGCTTCATGCAAGTCAACAATTCTTGATCGTAGGTCTTCTGAGAGCTCTTTTCTGCGAGGCATGGTTCACATCAGACAGTGCTTCTTGAAACCAGTAACCCCAAAACAGGTGTGTGTTTTTAAAGGGCAGGACAGCTGTCAGCAACACATCCAATATCATCACACTGATTGGAGTCAAGGTTAGCTCACTCCTGGCTCCAATTAGCTCTTGGAGAAGTCATTAGGCTAGGGGCTCACATACTTTTTCCTCCCTGCACTGAGAATGTTTACATGTTATGTTCAATTAAACCATGGCAACATCTAATGTTTGTGTAGTATTATTTTAAGCAGACTGTGTTTTTCTATTGTTGTGACTTAGATGAAGTTCAGAGCACATTTTATGACCAATTCATGCAAAACTCCACATAATCCCAAGGGGTTCAAATACTTTTTCTTGCAACTGTATGCATAAAACATACCATTCTAAGAATGGAACATTCTGGGCCACACCAGTTACAATCATACAGTGTGTGTGTGAGAAAGAGAGAGAGAAAGAGACGGAGGGAGGGGGAGACAGGGAGATAGAAGATAGATGATAGATAGATAGATAGATAGATAGATAGATAGATAGATAGATAGATATCTGGCACTTTTCTGGAAGTTAATACTCTGAACCCTGAAATGCTTTATATTTTTTTCCATGTTGTCCAGCTGTGAAAAACATAGTGTTACAGAATGGTAGATTCTACTGTTCCCTCAGTAGATTGGCTCTCTTCTCCCTAGTCTTTTACAGCAAGTTTCCTATGGAGAATACATCAGGAAATAGATACAAAGACCAGTTCCACATAATCCTTTAGAAATTATATAAAATAGTGACACTAAATAAAGGGTTCAGATTCTATGCACTCAACATTAATAATGCAGTATGTTCTCAAAGGAAGCCAAAACTTAAATTATTTATAGACTATGAAGTTTATTACACCTAATTCCACTGAACTAGGAAAGATATGTAGCATGAATATGACAGTTTAATAGGAATACTAGTTAAAATGCATTTTTCCAATTCCATTGAAGGTAGATATTATTATATTTACATGATGGGAACAAATTAAGTGAAGGCCAATTGTAGTTACGTAATAACCCAAATTGTTAATTAAAGGCACAAAGTAAATTTGTGGCTCTCATTTATTTATTTTTAAATGTTAGCAAAACAAACAAAGCTCCAAAGGCAGGCAAAGACATAAACAACTAAATCATAATGCTGCAAATATTTCCATCAACCTAGGTAAAAGCATTAGTAAAATGAATTCTGAAAGCTAGATGGTAACTGGTGACAGATGATGATTGGACAACAGCTTCTGTTTACATCTTACTTAAAAAGTAGAAACAGAGGAGGAAGAGGAGATTGGATTAAAGAACTAGGCCAGTCTTTTGATGAAAAACTTGTTTTTCTTCAAGGCTAGATAGGATTCTAGGACGGATTTTAATCAAGTGTAATATTCAGCAGGTTCTGACAGGTTCTGGAGAACCGGTAGCGGAAATTTTGAGTAGTTCTGAGAACCGGCAAATACCACCTCTGGCTGGTCCCAGAGTGGGGTGGGAATGAGGATTTTGTTGTATCCTTCCCCTGCCACGTCCACAAGCCACGACCACAGAACCAGTAGTAAAAAAATTTGAATTCCACCAATGATTTTAATCTTTTGAAGAAAACTTTGAAGTTTTACTAAGACTAACATAGTTAATGTTTAGCAGATAGGCAAGAACAAGAAATAAAACTAGAAATCGGCATAAAATTTTACAGAGAAAAAGGGACCACTTGTTTACCTACAGATCACCAACAATGATATGACTAATCTTGTTGGAGAAAAGAAATATATATATATAATTATATATTATAATTTGTTTAGGCTACCAGAAGACAATACATTGTCTATAAATTATAAGAGCTAATTTTACCTGGGATTATTTTCTCTATATATATAATAACATAAAGGCCAATTTTTAGGTAGAAATGCCTACTTGAATGCCATTTGTCAGGTACTCTGGAAACAGGAATAAGAAGAGATAAAAGAGCCTTGGTAGTACAGGGGTTTAAGGCACCCTGTTATTAAGCTTATTAAGACCAGCTGCCTACAATTACTGCAGGGTTCAAATCTCGCCAAGGCTCAAGGTTGACTCAGCCTTCCATCCTTTCTAAGGTAGGTGAAATGAGGACCCAGTTTGTGGGGGCAATAAGCTGACTTTGTATAAATATACAAAAGGATGAAGGCTATTGCTGAGCACATTGTAAGCCGCCCTGAGTTTTCGGAGAAGGGCGGCATATAAATCAAATTTAAAATAATAATAATAATAATTATTAAAAAAAAGAGATGATGATGGCTGAGTTCATAAAAAGTATGTCAAAATTTTAAAAGCAACAAAACTGAATATGAGATTACTGCATATTATATGCTATGGAGTCCCATAGGAGAGGCATATATAAAACAATATCATATTGGCACAGGACTCATTCATCTATGTATTGGCAATGTTTCACTTACATTCTTCTTAATTTTATTTTTTATTGTTTCTATGACTCCTGCTTCTTCACTCTCACATAATTTTTCGGTAGCTTTTAAATCGTCACATGCCAGCTGCATTTTCTCTTCTTCAAACGTCATCATGGCATTCTGTTAAAACATAAAAAGACTACTGAACTTAAAAGTGCCAAACTAGTCTCAATGTATATTTACTACTTTACAAACTAATGATATTATATTGTTTTTTAGAAGCTTTTTGAAGCAACTTCATTAACTAAGATATATATAAGAACTCCTTCATTTATAAGCAACTGTCAGGGAAGTTGGGAACTTAATTCGAAAATTATTTTTGTGGCCTTTTAAAAACTAACAAATTATCATATAATGAATATGCTACACTATAGAGTATTATCATATTATGCAGCAATAAACCTTAAATTAATCTTTAAGGTTTCACAAGGCACTTTTCTGAAGAAAACTAGCAAACTATTTTTGCAAAATCAAAAATTACCCAGGGTATACTTACAGCTGTAAATTGCCTACAATGCTAGAAGGTTGAAATCTTCTTAAAAGAAAAATAATATACTATTAAACAAGAAATCATTGTAATTACTAAGATATCAGGTAATACTCCTTCATAATCATGATTCCACAACTGTGTCTGCATATACAGTATATACATATTTTAATGACAATTTATTTTAAACTCTGTTTACCAGCTTAGATTTAAGCAATTCCGAATTACAATTTACAACAGAGCATTTATACTCCCTAAAAATCAGTGCCTTGATATATGTTTTTGTCTTTTTACATATGTAATAAAAGAAATAATTCTTGGTAATGTAAATATTCAAAAAGAGTCAAACTATTTCTCACATCATCCACAAATATTAAAGGTATAACTTTATTAAAACTGAAAACAATGAAAAACAATGAAATTAGCAATGAATTTGATAAGATTGTTATAAGATTTTGTACAGAGCTGGCCTGAAACTTTGTATTATAGCAGGGGTGTAAAGCTGAAGGCCCGGTGGCCAGATTCAGCCCGCAGGGTTCTTAGATCTGGCCCACAGAGTTGCCCTGGAAACAGCAAAAGACCGGCTCGCGGTGCCTCTGCCCATGAAAACAGAGCTCCATTTTCACGGGCAGAGTATTGCAAGAAGCCTTTGCAGCTGAAAATGGACCTCAGGAGCTTGTTTTCCCTGGCAGAGTGCTCAGGCAACTACAGGTGCCCCTGACACAACTGATGACGAACTGGCCACACCCACCCTGGCCACACCACCTTGGCCCCCCAAGGTCAAACACAACCCTGATGCGGCCCTCAATGAAATCAAGTTTGATACCCCTGTATTATAGTAACTAAAATATAATTAAGATACATACATTCTCTTCTAGTTATTGTTATTGCCACAAATTATATCTGTATAAATTTGCTAAGCCTATGTATTTAAAGCCTATGTATTTAAAGAATTCTATGCCTTACAACCAAATTAAAGATATGCAGAAATGCCTCACTTAAATTAATTTAATCTCCATTTTGGCACAATACATTTTCCTTTTTTAAAAAAAAATAGAAGATCTCAATTACACTGGAACATAAACTACTGCAGCTATATTTAGAACAGAAGCAGCTTTGCAGGATATAATGTTGCTATGTTGGATTGTTATACTCACTTAAAAATCCCACCTAGGTAAGCAATCCATTTAAATAAAGGAGGAAAAACATATTTCCAATATTTTTACAAAAGACAAGAATATATTCAAACAAAATTGTCTTCAATTTCAGATTTATAAAAGCAACCAAGCTATTTACAAGACAAGTTATCAAACAAGATATTTCCTGTATTTTTGGCAGGGTTTCTTAACATAATGCCAATAAAGAATGGAAGTAGAGCTGTAATATTCATATACTTGGCCTAAAAGTACCACAACATCCTTTCTTTTCATAGATAGTGAAGCAACTACTTTATATTACATTAAAATCTTTCCTTAACTTTCTTATGAGCTCAAGTAAATAGGATACTTGTTTATCAGCATCATAATAGATGGCTCACACTTATTATAGAAATTACTGACTCGTAAATTCCAAACAAATCTCCTTAAGCTTTATGCAATGTATGAATCCAGCCAGAGTGACAGAGTAGAAGGGAATACTGACACATAATATAATTTTGCTAGGTTTTGGTGATATACAACCCCAGTCAATATGGTTTAGTGTTACATATGAAACAAATCATAATAAGCACTTGCCAGACTTATATACTGCTTCGCAGTGCTTTACAGCCCTCTCTAAGTGGTTTACAGAGTCAGCAGATTGCCCCCAACAATTTAGGTCCTCATTTTACCAATCTCGGAAGGATGGAAGACTGAGTTAATCTTGAGCCGGTGAAAATCGAACGGCCAAACTGCTGGCATCTGGCAGTCAGCAGAATTAGCTTGCAGTACTACCTTCTAACCACTACGCCACCACGGCTCCATGCCTTGTTCAACAACGATTAAAGAACTGGCTTTGTTTTGTGCATACTGATAGTGAACAGTACATATCCACATGTGAAGGGATAATCCCTTATTTTGCAATCTATATGCTCTCTGATTGAAAAAATGTTTAAGAATGCAGTAAACCTAAGACAAACAGGAATGCAGTGGCTCAGTGGCTAAGACTGAAAGGTCAGCATTTCAGTGGTTCGAATCCCTAGTGCTGTGTAGCAGGGTGAACTCCTGTTACTTGTCCTAGCTTCTGCCAACCTAGCAATTCGAAAGCACGTAAAAAATGCAAGAAGAAAAATAGGGACCACCTTTGGTGGGAAGGCAATAGCATTCCATGCTCCTTTGGCATTTAGTCATGACCACGGAGACGTCTTCAGACAGTGCTGGCCACATGACCACGGAGATGTCTTCGGACAGCGCTGGCTCTTCGGCTTTGAAATGGAGATGAGTACTGCCCTCTAGAGTCGGGAACAACTAGCACATATGTGCGAGGGGAACCTTTACCTTTACCTTAAAGCTAAGACAAATATTTTAGTTCTATTTCTGTTGGGAAGCACCCAGCCTGGCAGAGAGGACGGATCACGCTTGCAGCTAACCTGGAGTCAATGTGCCATGCAGTAACAACATATGTATTTGGACTCACTTACCAAAAAGCTGACAAAGCTGGCTCCAAAACTCATTAAAGGACTATGGTTTCTGTTGAAAGGAAAATAAAATACAGTTAATACGTATTAAATATATATCTTCGTTCAGAATTTACACAATGTTCAATTTGATTTCAATCATGAATCCTCCCCAAATTTCCAATTTTAAGCATGAAGGTGTTATTTTGAATGTCAAATGGGGTATTTCAACCATTTTGGAAGTGTTTTACACTTAACATAAGCCTGTTCTGGATACAAAACATTTTGATTTTGCAACTATTCCAAAATACTTAAAACATCTTGTGACATGCTTAAAAACTATTTTTCCTTGAAATGAAAAAAAATTATGATGACTTGCACTTGAACCTAACCAGTGTCTGTTGCCAGAGTTGCACAATCAATTTCAGGCCCTCCCCCAGAGTGTTATCATTCTGAAAATGTTTTTTTCTTCTTTTGCCCAGAGTTTCAAGTTTAGAGAGAAGAGAAACTGGCTTCTTCAGAGAAGAATTCAACAGTGGTCCTAAAAGAGAAATTGCATGTGGTGGTGATGGTGACTCACTGCTGAGAAGAACAAGTCTGCAGAGCAGACATGATATCAAGGGAAGTATGTTGTCTTCCACATGCAAAAATGTGGGATGCAACAAAAGAGGCTGGACTGAGTACTCCAACCCGACTGCTATCTTCTTCTTCTGTTTTGTGTTGGAATAATACTGCCAGAATGAGTCTGGAAAGAAATAGAAGAACAAGGAAGAACTAGGAATGAAAACCACAGTATTTGAAAGATGAATTTTATTTTCATCCATACTTCTAAGTGAAGGTCATGTCCCAAAGAAGAAATAGAGGATTCTGGAGGAGAACCATTGGCTCAAGTGCTGGCATGCCAAGAGATGGGCCAGATCTCATAAAGATTGGGAAGAATATATTTCAGTTCAGGCAGGCTTTAAGCTAAACATGGGAAAGGAGAGAAAACCATACTCAAAGCAATAAACTTTACAACAAAGAAGAAAGCAGTACTCAAGAATATATCAGGAGATGCAAGAAAGTATACTAAAGGACTCAGTTTAGTATACTGATGCTCAGAAACGGAGAATTTTAAGTCATAGTACTGAGGACAAGGCAATATATTATTGGTATTGCTGATACCTGGTGGATATAACTCAATTCTAATTTTGGAATGTAGTACTTAAAGGATATAATTTGTTCATATTCAACCAAAGTGGAGGGGGTTGCATTATACATAAACGACTACACCTATATGGACATCTGGATCAATGGCAAAAAATTAGCCTAGTATGAAATTCTGAGAAATGAAATAATTAAGGCCCAGCACAAACAATATCAAACAGGAAGAAAAATAGGAGAATGCTGATGTGACTGGCATGGCTATTTAAAGAGCTTGGTGATGAACCAATAAAAAAAGTACAAGTTTAAAATAAGGGAGAAGGGCATATTAAAACAAGAATATCAGGAAAAGGTTCAAATCTGTAAGGATGAAGTCAGAAAGGTTAACACTCAGAAGGGAACTGAGATTCGCAACGAATGCAAAAAAATTGCAAAGAAAGAGTTCTTTGAATATATATATGCATTTTCTTCCTCCAGATGATGGGAAGTGGTAGTTCCTTCTTGGGGAGGTATGGCAAACTAAAGACAATAACTGCAACAAAGGATAAGAAAAGGATAGGAGATCTTCCACATGTGTTCCAGATGAGTGCTCCTTCTGAAACTACAAGAAATAGCTTTTGATCTTAGACATTTTTCACTTCTTTTAATGTTTATTTTTTTTAAAAGTTTCTTCAAAAGTCTAACTATTGAAGAAATTTTACATTACTTTTTATGATCTAACATTTAATAACATCAATATTTATATAACTTGAACTATCAGCATCGACAAAATCACCATCAGACAATTGCAAAAGGCAGTTCTGCTTGGAACAGCTTATATCCTGCAAGCGATACCTTTAAGACCATCCAATATCCACATCTACCTAATCCAAGTCCTTGAGAAGGACTCGATAGGTGGACAAAAATGTCAAATCAGTCAGAACATCGGGATAACTATGCAATGAACAATAAGAACATTCAATTTAATGAATTAAATCAGAAACAAATTGGCATACTGTTATATATATTTTCTTAGCAATGTATGTGGAAGAACTGGTTCCAAAGACTGCCTCAGTACTATTTAATAGTAGCCCATTAAGTAGAAGTAAAGGGCATACATTCTGCAGAATCTGTGAGAGATCAAGGCCTTGATCATCACAAATAAAATAGCCATCCAAATGTCAGATTTTCATTGTAAGAACTTTGCAGTGTACCAGAGGTTAAGTTAATAAACTTTGCAAATACCGGTAGCATTCTGCTGCTAAGCACCCAATGCTGTTGACTCAGTTCATTTAACTCAGTGGGCTTTTATGTGAAATAGTTAAAATGCAACATTTATCTCAATGGATTTTAAAGGTTCATGATTGGCCACTTACAAATCTTTTAAAATTTTTCCCTTCTAATCTATAATTAAACCAGACAGTTGTACTTTTCTGCCTTTGTTTTGCCAGCTTATATCCAAACAGGTTTGCTAATGAACAAGTAAAATGTACAGGATTCAATGAAATGTTTTAATTAAATAATTAATAGATGAAATTCTACCACTTCCATGGTATTACAAAATTTGTTCCCCTTTTGGAGTAGGACATGCAAGAAATCAATCTAGACTAGTATCGCATACATATCTGCTACCAGTTTATTCTTACAACTATTTTTAACCATGTTACCTGTCTTCTGGGAGAATAGGTTAAATTTTCCCACAATAGTTACAAGTAATGTCTAAGGCAACTGCATCACTCCTCTGTTTGCCAATATTCTCTGGTTACAAACCTCATAGTTCTAAGTCAAGAACTTTGATTCAGAGTTCAAAATATTTAAAAATAATGCAATTTTCCCCCTAGTATTAGATAGGAACCCCAAAAGTATAATGGTAAATACCTATAGAAGTATGATAGCTTTGAAATAGTTCTACTGGTTTCTACAGGATCTTTAAGTAATGTTAAACCATCAAATTTATAGGAACATATAGCAGCAATTCAACTGATTGTGAAATGAAAGGGCCTAACAGCTAGCTAGGAACACAGCAAATAATTCTAAACTTGTTATATTAGATTGCAACAATATGTTAAAATCTGTTTGGGCACAGAAGCAGTAAATTCTATCTTCATGATAGAATTAAAATTCACTGTGCAACTGTTTCTTACATTTTTTACAATATTCTATAAATAACCATTCCCCTTATTTTATTTGTCTGGAGACTGAAATGAAGCTATTATCTGAAACCAGAAAATATACAACTTCATGTTTTATCCTGAACTACAGCAGCACCTTGATTAAAGTATACTTATCTGCCACTGAATAAAAAAAAAGGGAGGAAACTACATTATTGTAAAACAGTGTTCCTCAAACTTTTGTCTCTCAGTAGGCATTCCCACTTTTAAAAATTGCAGAGGACTCTAAAAGAGCTTTTATTTGCATGGGTAATGTTTATTAATATTATTAAAAATTACTATTGGCGCACTCACTACCACTATTGCTTCTCACAATTGTTTGACAGGATTTTAATATAGTATTATTAAATTATTTCAATATAGGATGGCAAATAATTTTGATTTTCTTGAATCTTGGGGTGCATGGACTTCACTTTGAGAAACACTACTTCAAAAGAGAAACATTTTATAAGAACTTCAAAATTAGATGGTCTTTTGCCCAGGTTTTGAATGTCAAAAGCTAGTTTCTCCAGTGTCACAATCAAACTGATTTCAAAGTAAGGTTTAAAAGTAGAATATGAATTAATTTAAACTGTTCAGACCTTGACAAAATCTTAAAAGATCCCATAGTGAAGAAATATTAAAGTTTCCTTTATAACATCTAGTCTACAATGAATCACACAGATTACAACTAAGTGCAAGAAAAAAACAGGTTTTCCCAGTGCTTAATTAGAGCACGCAATAATCAACAAGGATAAAACTGATCTGAAGGTTTTCTCCATAGCTTCAACTGCATCTACAAATCCATGCATATTCATATGCATATGATATAAAGTACATTATTGTTGCATATTGATACATAATTGTAATATGTGCATTACATTTTGTACATTAATGTAATATATATATTACATTATATATAACATATGTACAATATTGTTGTATAAATGTTATATGTTCTGTATTGGAACATGAATTTACGACAAGATAGGCTGAATGCTGCATTTCAAGTTTATTTACAAAAGCTCAGTTTTTCAGTCTCAATAGCAAATATCGTAACAAAATTGTTCCATAAATTTCAAAACATAATCCACAATACATTCTGGCTACATGTTGGGGTAAAGTCATACATTTTGGAGTCTTGAATTAAACTTAACTCCACGTTGTTGTTTTTGGCCACAATACAACTGGTTTGCTATTCCATTTTCTAGGAGAATTGGTTCTATTTAAATTTCCCTACAATTCTGGGATTTTCTGATAGTTTCTTATCCAAATACTCACAAGGTTCTGCTTAGGTTTTTTGAGACAGCTAAGATCAGCTGTAATTGTAAATTATCTGGGGACAAAAATCAAAAGCCATTAAGGCAATTTTAAGAATCACAATATAATCCGAAAGCTTTCAAAAACTTGTCATTACATAAGGAAAACTGATCAGGACGGGGTAGGAGGGAGGAAGAAAAACTAAGATTAATATTTGAATATTCTTTGTGCCACGTTACAACATGGCAGCAGACTGCAAACACACAACTTCATCTAGTAGGTGTGAAGCTGTTGTTATGTTAAATTGAGGATATTCTCAAAATCTGCTGGGGGAAAAGGGCAAACAATAGACATATCAGGTCTATAAAGTAAGATATAGGTGGAGTAATATTTGTTTAGCACACTGAAGACATACAGAGATCAGTCTGTAAAGGAACTGATGACATTAGGATGCACTGAATCTTGCTTATTAGTGACCATTCTTGTTCCTTTCCACTGTCTACTATTCAACCAAAAAAAAATTAAGTTCTGGACTTTATTT